CATGTAGGTATAGTAAAATCTGTCGTTCATAAGTTTGAATTAAAGTTCGAAGTTTAAACTCAGAATAAATTAAATTAGTTTAATACAATTTTGGTTTATTAAGCAAAATTTTAATTAACGAATTAATAGTTGCAGATAAAACGTTTATATGCGTGTATATGTACCTACCTATAGCCTTTCACAAAGATACCATATGCAAAAACTAATTGTGCAAATACTAAAGAAATAACTCTTTATTACTTCCAACATATTTTATACAGTCCATTTTTCCCAAAGGTGTAAACACATGCAAAGATTTACAATTATTAAAAGAGCATATTATGTACATAATTGAAATCAATATAATACATTTGAAAAATTATTCTAAATGGTTTGGGCAAAACTACAGAAATTATATTCTCAGCATTTGATGTACCTAACTACTGTTTTCATTAGGTACCAACTTCCATTGTGGTTATTTTACAGTTTACCGTTAACTAATAAAACCTAATCATATTGTTTCAGAATTTGTTATTTTAAACGGTATTTTCAATGAAAATTAATTGCAAATGCTAACCACAGAGTTTTCCTTACATAATAATATGTTCTCTATAGGTTATACTAAGGTTTTAGGTTATTTAGGTTTAGGCACGAGCTTGCCGAATGCACAATTTAATACATTTAACACAAAACCAAAAGCTTAGACACAAACGTTTATAAAGCATAAACCAATGTTAGTGAAATAATGTTAAAATAATAAACGTATAACGAACACGCAGAGCTCGAGTACACGCATTTGGGTGGTAACTCTTCTCAAGTATGAAAAAATAAAAGCTACTCGGCATTACCTACATAGCATTCTAAAAATTGTAGAATATAAATGATGGTTCAAAATCATTTTTTTTTAAACTTTAATGTGCAATTCATTTTTGTTATTATTGAAAAAATATCAACCACGTGGGGTTATACATAAAAAAAATATTATTGACCACGCTCAAGCTCCGAACTGTGTAATATATAACTATAGCTGTATTACCCGAGTCGAAATTAATCAATCTTTCTATCGTTTTCCTGTTTTGTTATTCAGTTGAAATTTATACCACAGACACAATTACAATGATTAATTTAATGATTTTCCTATACATATTTTTAATGTAAACACAAAAAGACCGAAGACAGATTCAACGAATGCTTAAAAGCCGACGTAAATCCAATATCGTTAAGATTGGTATTCGTCTGTGTTTACATAAAAAAAATGTCCAGAATTAAGAAAGCAAATCATGATTGCAAACCGTAAAAGTAATAATTTTAATTGTGTTCATAAGTACCTACTTGATTTTAAGATCTAATTTATGTTTTTATTATTTATAAAAGTTGTAGGTATATGCAATATTTGCGTAATATAATCTATAACCATTGGTAACCATTCAAATCAGCAAAATAATATTCGATTTTCAAAAACCAAAATTAAATTCATGTGTGGGCCACCGTCTAGCAACTTATAGGACTTGAAAAAATAACCTATCAACGCCCTCCAAGTCCCAAGAAATCTATTGATATATTTTTTATTGAAAACGGTCCAGTAGTATTTAAGTCTCTAGCTAACAAGCAGACGGATAGACAAACATCCATTTTATATACAGAGTGTCCATCGAGGATTTACACATTGGCTATTGCGATATCTCCCCTGAGGCCTGAGATAATAAATATATCACAATTCACAAATCTGTTATTTTATTAGACTCCCAGAGACAAGGACTACACACATTTAATTTTATTTTTTTGGTAAAAAGTTAAATAAAATTATTTTTTTATTTTGAAACTATTGAGGGTAGCCATTTTATGGAGTTTATTTTTGAGAGAACTTTGACTTTTAACATTTTTTTTTCATTAATCTCATGGTTTTTAATATTTTTTTTAGTTTATAGGTAAAATGGCAAAAACCCAATTTTTGTCTGGGCGGCGAGTCTCCCTCACGGTTATATCCTCAACGAACACTCTGTATACATATACATATCGTATAAGATATTATAATTAGATATAATAAAATACTGATTATAACTGTTATTCAATTCCTTAAATCAGATCATAATAATTAGGTACAACCGATAAATTTGAATGAGGACGCAATTCATTTTAAGTCTAGAATATCGAAGTGGACATCCGTTCAAAATATTTAAAATCGTTTTAGTAACAATTTCAAATACCTACCTGGCAAGTGGCTACTTCCTTGCTTCAGAACTATAACCAAAGGCGAAAGGAACCACTTACCACTACCTATGGAAAATCATAAGTAAATGAAAAGCGTTCGGTGAACTATGTACAGGGCCTGACTGGGCCACAGTGCTACTGTTCTACAGCACAGTAGGCCGCGGTCTACGGTTATGTAAAAAAAAAAATGCATAAATATTAAAATCAATCTAATTATGCTTACAGGCGTATTACTAGTTGAACTTAGTAGGTAGCACCAAATAATATATTAATATTATGTTCAATTTAAGATATGTGATTAAAATGTTTTAATAATAATATTATAATACATATAAATAATACGAATCAGTACAAATTTACTGAGCGTTCGGCAGTTGGCAGTATTATCACAAAAACACAGTGGAAATATTCAAAAATGAACACAGAGCTGAGATCACGGCCCGCAGTGGTCTGAAAGTGAACATTAAGCTGTCTTAATTGACTATTTTTAAATTTTAAATACATTTTTTTTTTTCATCCCTGTATCCTACTAAATTAAAACATAGGTTCAGAGGTCTATAAAAATGTTTTTAACCAAAGTTATGACCGTTGAAATGCAATAAATTTTTATTATATTCGTAATTTTTCCGAATTTGTAAGATATTTATTTTATTTTTCTGGTCTAACAATATTCTTTTTTCTTTTATATTTGATTTTTAATTTGGGCAATAGGTCTTGTAACGTAAATCAATACGTAAAATATTTATAAATATATATTTTTATTTTTTTCAACATCAAATAATTGAAAATTTATTATAATTTGCTACATTAATTTCATTTAAAACTGATTATTAAAAGACTGTGAATAAATATTGTAAAGGAAGTTCTCAAGTACCAACAAATATAAACATTGTTTTCGGTCACTTGCGTTTTCAATGTATAAAAATATTATTGTCCAAGTATTACAATATTATTGATATAGATATTTTTGAAGTATTTGCTATGGTTACTGCAATACTTTTTATTCAAGTTTACCCTATTGGTATTATAATATTTGTGTTAAGAATATTTATATGAAAACATTTTTTTTTTAGGATCTGAATATGAACACTATTGAGTATTGGTTCTATCCACGATGAAAAAGCTATACACGCCCAAGAGAATATTGTCTGATTTGTGATTTTAATTTACTTCATTCGCTTAATTTACATATGCCTACTTGTTCTAATTTATATGCCGCCATGGAATATGTACTAACCTTATCGGTAACTCAGGTTAATTTTGAACGAGTAATTAGTAAATTAAAAATTTACATTTTCTTTCTAATCAATATAAAAAAGTTCCTATATCCTAATTATTGTATTACTATACTACTGATAAAAATATAATATTTTATTAGTTTAAGTTGGGGCCGATAAATGTAGGAAAATGGGCCGGTTGCTTACAGGAAATAGTGGGCCGAAACCGTTCCACTCCGGCTCTGACTATGTACGTGTTATCGTATCGTATAATATTTCACAATGCACATACGGAAAATTAAACATTAAACCTATAAATTATTATGTGTGATAAGATTGCATGGCTATATACTTGTTAGTTGTACCTCATAGCCTCGTGCTTATAGATACGCACGACGTAAGAGTGTAAGATACAGTGAAATCTAGATAACTCGAATCGGTTGAAAAAAAAATTCGAGTTATAGAAAAAATTGTGTGTACTCATTGAAATGCAGGGGCGAAGATATTCCTTCGAGTTATCGAAAATTTGACTTATAGAAGTCCGAGTTATCGAGGTTTCACTGTATAGGTTTTATCGTAAATCGTGGTTGTCGGTAATACTGTTTTAAACGATAGCAACAATTGTTCATGATTAATTTGTATAAAAAATATCAATCAGAAAATTCTCATTTTTTTTTAGATCTAATGAAAAAAACGGAATAGATATAGGTTACCGTTAACTTCTAGAAATTATTTCGGTGTTTCCGGTATTGGAGTACACTAATCGACTATACAAATAAATATTTTCTGGGAAAATTATTATGACCAGTTATATGAACTACTACTAATTAAAGGATTAAATAATTATATTATATTGACTGTTGGAACTCGAGTCTCGAATGAGAATTGCGAGTTTATGAGAAGCCAAAATTAGTTTTTAAACGTTATTTTAATTATTTGGGAAAATTGAAATGTAATTAACGAAAACGCTGTCATCTTTTATAAATAGTTTAATAATTAATAACAAATTAATCAAAACTGAAATTGTATAATAATCAAATATTCGTGTCATACTGTGATATATAGTGTGAGATATACTAGATATTATACATAATATATGCACATGACCAAACAAACAAATAATAATAAAAAAAATTAATAATGATACATTTTTACATTTTATCAAAAAAAAAAAAAAAACAATATTTAAACATACTCTATAGTATATAATAAGCCGACAATATAAGGCGACCACTTGTACATAAAATCTCATTGGTCGTTATCGCGGCGAGGTCGTATCATATGGTATAAGGTATAGGTATCATAGGTAGGTAGGTATACATTTAAACAGCGTTTCGTTAATTTATTTTATATTATTATATATACTATGTACAGGCGATACACAATCTATGGCACATATTTTGCATCCCAAAAGTGAGTTTCATCAATAAATGAAACGCCGTATTCGATAACCACTACTACATTGTATTGTGTAATGCGCAACACTCTGTATAGGAGCTAACTTATTGGGGGCTGGTATACGCGTGGGACGAGATCAGCTCGTGGGTGCTAATTGATGATGATGATGACGACAATTTAGGAGCCTCGCGAGTTCTATTTACAGCATCGGATGAAAGGGAACGCGAAACAGTTTTTTCTTGGCCTTTCGATGGCCGCGCGGACCGATTCCGTGAATATGGTGTCCAACCCTTCGTTGGTCAGAGCTGAACACTCCAGGTACTTGACGGCCCCGATCTTTTTCATCATTTTCTTGCCCTTTTTCCGTGTTATACAGTCGTTTTGGCTCAGCCTTAAATCCGTTTTCGTACCTGAAAATGTAATAATTGTTTGATAACCGGTTATTCGAACTTGTGTATACCAAACTTCCGGACAATACTATAGCTATGGTAATTACAGTATGATATTATAAATATTATGACACGGCAGAACTTAGTGTTTATAGTATATACGAATTGAATAATAGCAGGAACAACAATATTTTATAATATATAATAATAAGGCACGTGGTTAATCATCGCTATATGATCATGACTCGTGATTCGCCAGACGATAATATTAATGAATTGTAGTCGGCGTGTTGAGAGACCCCTACAAATTGTTGTAATGAGCTCTCAAAAAAAAAAAATATATATCAGTGAAACGGACGGTTGGGGAGTATTGAAAATAGTTAAGACCTATATGAGTACACTAGAACATATTTTTTTAATCGGTTTATTTAACCTTAGTTTTTAGTATAATCAAACTAGATCGTGTTGAGTATAGACCTATTAACGTTTTACCTATATCATATGTTCTATGTTTAATACAATTATTAAAAACGCATTTTTAATGAATAAAATACCGTTAAATAAATCAACATAAACATATTACATATATATATATATATATATATATATATATGTGTAAAATATATAGGCCAATACATGCGAGTCGTTATGATACACAGCCATATTACATTTGGATTATTATTTTTTATGAATGTAATTATTATTTACTAGGCACCATTGTAAAAGATATAACCATTATAATGTTATATTATCCGCACACAAAAGGTGGGTACAAATATTACTCTTGTTCAGTCGTACATTTGTGTGTTTGTAGTTTGTACGGACTCTGAATGTTCGTTTATTTGTTTTCGAGTAATTATTTTGAACCAATGTTAGCAACATTTAATTTTTTTTATTTGTTTACAGTGAAACCAAATAAATGATTTGTGTGTACACTGTTTTACTTTAATAACAAGTATATTGTTTCATCTGTTTGGGATGTTTAATATTATGATCATGATCAAATTATAATGATCAATATTGATCATATTAAATTATCCCAGTGAGATTAAATATCTATAGATTTGATTATTTTTATTAAGTTTTTGCGAAGTTTAGGTCCAATATTTTTCCAACTACCTACTTACTGGCTACTGCACACGCAAATAATAATATATTATCAATTGTTATTATAACAACCACCAAATCGTTACCTATAAATAATTAAATTAAAGTAGAGATTACATAATATTTGACGAACAGAAATCAACGAAAACAGACTAGATGATTGTTTTTCATCAGTTCAAATATTATGTTATTTATAACCAATACTATTCGAGTGCTGAATATTTATATCAATGCAATTCAAAACTCATAGAACATAATATCCCAGCATTCGCTCTCATACGGTACAATACAGGATTCGTCATCAGGCCTTACCGATCAATATCACAGGTATTTTCGGACAGTGGTGTTGAATTTCCGGATGCCATTTACTGGCAATGTTTTCGAATGAACTCCGACTACCGACTGAATAGCAAAGTAGAAAACAATCCGTCTGTAATATAATATTGGCATATTACTATAACATTATATTATGAATAGTTTCATCAGTGATTCAACCGGAAACCATGTATTTCAAAACTGGGCAGCGTATTACAATTACAGAGAATACAATTTGAAGTGTTATTCGATAATCAATTAGTTTATTTCAAAGGTTTTTTCATTATAATTCTCCTGAGTAGGTAATCCATAAGCCAAGAGTAATATAAAATATGTAAAAATATGTGAAATTATGAAAATAAAATTGTATGCACGTAATAATATATTAAATATGTGTTTCAGTATTAAAAAACTAATATTTCTATAATAACTCACATTAGGATAAGACAGTGGCCTAAGTCTTTCGTAATCTTCTTGACCGGCAGTATCCCACAGACACATGTTGTACTCTTGACCATCCATAATCATGTTCTCTGCATAATTGTCGAATCTTAAAATACGTTAAAAAAATTTATGATTATTTATTAGCAGCAAACACATATTTTTTAAAAACATTTGATTAAACTTCTTCCCTATTAAACACCCAACTACAATAGCATTGTCAAATAAATATAATATTATGGATGTATATTCAAATATAACATGAACAAGTATTTATAAATTAAATTTGGTATTTATATTCTAACAATATAGACAAACAATACAAAAATAATTTATTTAGAAATATGAATATTATGGATGAACGTTGTAAGTTTAAAACTAAATAGGCAATAATATAATGTCTATAAAATACATTAATAATTATAACGTAATGTCAAGGTACATTGGACACTGATCATATAATACCTGTCATGCATGAGTATTATCATCAAAATAATTAAACTGTAACTTACGTATAAAGTATATTATATATTATTTTTTACTATTTTCAGACTTAAGCCAATAGTTTATTAGGAACTCAATAATGTGATACAACGTATGGAGCATAATATGTTCAAAACTAAATGTAATCATATTTGAAAGTTGTTGACATACCAAAGTTTTATAATAGAGGCCATCGCTGGCCTCTTAGATATTTGATAAAAATGTAACTACAATTTAATTTAATAAGATATTAAACATATTATAAATTTAAAACTTGAACCAATGTTAAATTTATTTAATTCAACTAAAACTAATATAATTTGTATACATAAGTAGCAATTATAAATTAAATGCATACAAAATAAATATATTCAAATATGAAGCATTCAAGGTTTTTATAATAATGGATTTATTTGAATTGTAATATTACATTTTTAAAAATAAATTTAAATATTTGTTTTATAGTACTATTAGTGTTTTCGAAAAATATGAAAACCCAAACAAAGGAAATGTAATGCAACATTTACATACTTTTGACACACTAAATATCCAATTTACATATGATTATTTATATTCTCTAATTCGAATGCAATATAACACAATAAGTAAGTATAACAACTTTAAATATTAATATAGGTCGCTTCATAGTTAACATTTAAATAAAAAGAACCTTCTCAAGTATTATTTAGTCACAAATAATATGACTCATTTCTGACATACTTTCTCTATTACCTACGTATTTTAATTAACGTGTTTCATGAACACTTATGTCTTATGTCATACGAAAATCAGCATAATGATTTACGCCGTTTATTCATAACAATCTAAAAAATTGTACTTCGTATGAATAAATTTAATAAGTCTCTGGTTAACATTGAACTGATTACAAAATAAAACCAAGTGCGATACTTACTGCAGGAGTTATTTGAATTATTTGTTGTGCCCACTGGGGCAGATGTTTTTAAATTTTAAAATAATAATATAAATAAATAATAAACCTTCAAGGAACAGACTATGAGCGATAGTATATAATCAGGTAAATGATTTAAATGGTATTTATCATGTACAAATAATACTTACATATATTGCATTCGCTCTTACGCTATAAATTATAATGTTTAGGTTATTGTTTTTTTTTTTTTTTGTGACTTCCACTGAAGCCACTGAACAATTCTAAAGTGTTCTTATCCTAACTACTGTCTGCAACCTGCGGAACTTTTTTGGTACTCAATTCTGAGCAGTACGGCCCTTAGATACTACCCTAGGTGATAACCAAAAACAACAACGAAATATCACACCCATGCTCCAATTTCTTACTATATATTGTGTTCGTACCATAGAGTAAAGAATATTTTTCGTACTTAAATTTTAACGACGAATAACTTGCACAAAGAACGTCATCGTAACATCTGTCTTATCTGTCGTATCTGTTTAACAATTAACACAAACTGTAACGTAACAAAGCAACTATTTAGATTTTTCAGTTTTTAGTCAATTTTTTTAAATTAGTTATAGGGATTCACAAAATTTAGGTAAGTATACTAATAAGCTAATGCTCTTTTAAATATTTTTATTATTGTGATCGACAGATTAAAATGCACGATACATTATACTATTGAGTAAGTATCATTACAATTTTAATATTAAAACTCCACGTAGGTACTATAATACAGTTCTTAGTATTTTTTGTGATAGATAGTATATTTAGTAGTTAGTACTATTTACTTGAACAGTTTGTCAAAATGAGAATTGCTAGGAATGGTTTTTCTGTAACGAGTGTTTGATATTTTACAAAAGACAACACTTGATTGATACAAATAGTAAATATTTATAATTTTAGCTAAAATATAAAGCAAAAATAAATAAATTACAAACATGATTATATTTCACGATTAAAAAGTAATAAACAGGATGCACCTCAAATGTGGGATTGCATTTTGATATCACTATTAGTGAAAGGACGGAAAACGGTTTTTTTTTTTTTTTCATACAAATTCATAAATATAATGGTATAGTTATCAATATTGAACAAAGTTTAGATTAGACTGGTACACACATTCAAATTATAAATCATTATGATACCACAAATATGGCATTAGTTACCATAGCACTTTAAAACAACAGATTATTCCAACAAACCGTGCTCCTATAATACTAGATAGGATATTAAATTAAAAAATAATAAACATTAATATATGAGACAAAATAATATTGGGAATATAGAAATATATTGATCACCAACACAATAATAAAAATGAACACTAACCACTGATGCAAAAACTATATCAACCAAAAACTTATCAACGAGTATACTACATACTGTACCTACCTACTACAACTGCATTATAATCGCCTTTCTTGTACCTATATAGATTTACACTTGTAAAAAAAATGTTTTCACTTACACGGTAGGCACGTATTCGGTAGGAAATTGCTTGGTCGTGTAGGTGATGAGCATGCAAGTTTTTCCGACCATCCCATCGCCGACTGCGGTTATCTTCAACGGCCTCAACTTGCTGCATTTCTTGGACGATCTAATGGTGTCGCTGTAATGTGATTCGGCTCCCATCGTTAAACACCTGCGAATCACGGTAAGCATTATAATCATGTCGTTCAACTTGGAAACATTTGGCCGCCGACAGATGTGAATCCGCGGACAAACGCGACACAAAAAAAAGAAGAAAAAAATGAGCAGGAAGACGATCTCCGTTAAAATCTAGATCGATATGGGCCATACGCGTCTAAAGGGCTCTTCTTCAGCTGCCCCCGATCGCACGGGAAAAGGATTTCTATTATTTATTATACACCCTCCCCGTTTCCGGTTATGATCTCGTTACACGTGCAACACGTGAGTATATACACCGGGAGCAGGTCTCACGTTCCCGTCGGTGTCTGTTATGTGTGTGTATGTGTATACTGCACTGCACGCAGCAGTGCGAGTGGTGAGATATGAAACGAAATTATTCAAAAGAAACCTCAACTTCCATTACGGGTTTAATTTGTATTTCACTCGGCGCATCGGGTCTCGTGATAAATGTGATATAATATAAGAGTGCGCGTGTGTGTGTGTGTGTGTGTGATGCGTGCCCGACGAAACCGAGTAAAAACAAATGTAAACATACGGCGCGTTTTAATATTCAAGTCTGGCGTTTCCCAACCCATACGTGATTAAGGGAAAGGAAGTGTGGTATATTAAACGAGACTATACAGGGTGTCTCTTCGTGCGATGGTTCCCTCGCGCACTTACGCACACCCGCGTCCACATCTGTAGAATATTATGTATTATAATTTTCTTTTACCAGAAGCTCACTATGTAGTTACTTTTTTCAGACTCTCCCGTAACTGTTTGAACCCTCTACGACGGAAATCGTAGTAAGCCACCGTCTTGTAAAATATTTACAATGATGAACGTTGTTTGATTGTCACGATGATTATTATCGCGGGTTTTTAACAAACGCGGGAAAGAATATTTTGATTTAATTTTGTTACGAGTCTTGGTCGGAAAAATACTGCGAATAATTGTCTCGATTCTTCGCACAACCCCGTAAAATCTTTCCGAAATCGTAAAATAATAATAATCAGAAAAAATGTCGTAATGGCGCACACTGGGTCAAACACTGGTCACGACGAGATCAGACACCCTGTATGCTAGGGAGGTCTGGGGGTGACTTACTGTCGTCGTTGCCGGAAATATGTGCTCATCGTAATATTAATCCACGCCCGGTGTATGCGGCGGCCGATGGATCATCATACAGGTGACGGCACATGTCGTGAATATAAACGCACACAACTGAGAGGTCATCATACGTGCCATAAACCGCCGACAGGAGCGGTGGCCACCAAGTAATAATTATAATTAACTACGAGTGCTAGTTCTTTGAGAGGTTCTTTCGTCACGCTTTATACTACCAACAGCCAGTCTATATTTTGAGAAGTCGCTATAGGTACTATTTGAATATTGGATATAATATTACCGCCAGTCGTAAAATCGAATTATTACATTTTTATATAAATGGTACTTGCATACAACTTATAATATGTCCGTACATAGGTGGGCGCAAAATTAATAATAATATTATTAAAATCTGAGGAAGGGACGTAATGGAGATACGAAATCACCACCATACAGTACACGTAAAAAATAAAACAAAAATTTGAATTGCTGCAAAGCGTTGCGATTTTCAATCGAAAAATAACGCGATACCCGTCTCCCGATGTGGTATATTCCGCGAATAGGATTCCCGATGTAGGAACTGTCATGAAAAAACTACTGACACTTATATCACGTTATGTTCGAAAATATATAATAATAGTAGCAACACAACGAAACAGAGTATTTTGTTGTTGTAGTCTGTTTAGCAAAATATGTATACGTAGTACATTTGAAACGAATCGCACATACGCTGCACACGAACAGGAAACAATATTGTCAGATAGTAAATTTATGTGCACCGCACAGACACTATGCTTAAATTATTATATAGCAGTCGTCATATCTATATAAAGTAACTATACCACTGATTAATGTACGCAAATAGATCGGACATCGCTACTGTGCACTACTAGTTAAAATGGATAGAAGATTTTTTTTTTTAAGTGGGGAGTATGTATTTTACTGTATAGAGGAGTCGAGAGTACTTCAAGTACTCTGTTAATGGACGACGTCTTAAATTTGAATCATAAATTATTTTAATAATAATATTAAAACTAATAAATAATCGTATTTTTCTAGATTAGTTATAAAAGGATTGAGAATATTTAATTTTTACCTCCTAAAAATACCAACTATATAGATCCAAATTTCTACAAGAATTTTCACTAGAAAAAGTGGTTTCAGGCACAAATAATAAAAAAGCACATCGCTACGCTCAGAGTCTAAAATGTTGGAATATTACGCTGCAGAGGTTTCTAAATCGTTTAAAATATTGTATACATTTATGTTTAAATGTGAGAATTTTTAAAGTTGTTCGAACCATTGAATTCGTCCAACGCCTCTATACCTAGCTATAACATAATAATATGATATTATTGGAGATTCGCAGTTACCGAGACACAGCATATTATATTATTATTTTATGACGTATTGACGTCTATATAATATTATAATACGGTCATGATAAAATATGATATATGCGTAATGCGTGTATAGAAGTATAAGTCATGTAAAATTCAAACCATCGTCGTACTGCGGCGTGAAATATTAAAATTTATCGATATAAAAATCACACGCGTGACGGCGGTCAATAAATTTCAAAACGTAAACCGTCTACGGTTTTTTATTTAATCCAACGAAAACTTTAACGAACAATCGTAATGCAATTTCAAACCGTTCTACACAGAGTTGGGGTGTGGTGGTCTATATATGATGTGGTCGACCGTCGTGTTATACCTAGTACCTACGGTGAAAATAATACGAGGATACTATATGGTCTGGGGCGTATATTATAGTTGTCGTTTATGTGTATCAATTAAAGGTGATTGCCCCCTGTCAATGAATTAAATGCCCATTGCATCACCAAGCGCCAAATATTAAAAATAATAATAAAACGAAAACGCCTCTGCTGCACGTGGTACACGTTCAACGGTTGGTTAATATAATAATCTATCACCGTCTCGCAAACGGAAGAGACCGAACTCGAAAGAAAATATTAAAACGCACAGTTGCAATTATAATATCGTTCACTGACAATTATTATACATAACATTATATTGTGCGGAGGAGTGCGTTACTAATTTTTTTTCGACAAATTATAAATTCACCAAACCCAAGGTCGGATGCTTCTACACACGCGTATTACAATAATATATAATATTTTAGCACACGGTGACAAAGATATACCTGCAGCGTATTGTTTATACGTGTCTTTGTCCTACAACAACGGCATTGATTAGATAATTTACGACTCTTTTTAGTGTTATCCGTACGTACGGTGCCAATGTCTCTCGATATAAATCTATAAAAAAAAAATAATAATAATAAACGAAAAATTATGATGTATTGTTCCCGTCGCGTTTGTCGGTTGTCTTCTCGAACTCAGAGTGTCAATAATATTAATAATAATAATATAACTATTATTATTATTATTATTATTATTATTATTCCTTATGAATATTTACGAACAGACACACCGACGTGATATTTTCATAACGCTATAGGTGTTCAAATTGAATCGCATTAATAATTGTTCAGAGATAATAATATAAATAAATCAGTGTCCAACGTATAATATATTTTGTATTCAAGTGGGTTATCTAATAGTTGTTCAATTTATTACATAATAATACAAAACATTATGCATCCTTCAATAACTGCATATGGTACACCTCACTCTTGCGTACCAAAATAAATAAATAATATATAAGGTAATTCACCAATCATGCTCACCACCCCCCACCAAATTATTTTTAAATACTTAGATTTTTTCTATCTTTTAAGGAGTAGGTACTCCTGTCTCCTAAGACGATATAAGCTTATTTTTTTCAAATTATGATTACCCTTTTTTATCGGTTTTTACAGTCACATTGAGTGTTTTCTGTCATTTACCATTGTCAAAAGTATTTCTTTAGTTCTGGTTCTGATCCTATTCATGCAGCTCCGTGTTTTCCAGAGTATGTGCATAAGGTGGCGTATTTAGGTTTTTGTTATGGGGATATATGACTTTATCCAGTAGTCCCGCCTTTAAAGTTAAACCTAAATTTAGATTAAACTTAGGAGGCCTAAACTTTTGCATTTTATATACAGCCCATGTGAGGGGGGGGGGGGGTGATCTACTTGATCCCTCTCTGTAAATACGCCACTGTGTGCATATAGTGTCATAGGCGAGTGTATGAATATATTATTGATAGACGTTCTGAAAATCTGGACTATGTTCCATTTTTTCAGTGTCAATTGTTTGTGATGTATTGTCCCATATAGGTTAGGTTAGGTATTCTACTATTCTAGAATTAAGCCTAGATTGGGTAAGGTTTTTAGTACATGATGTATCGGATATATTCTAGAGTTGGTTAAATAATTGATCTTTTCTCAAATAGTTTTAAACCTATTACCGCGGAAAATAATTGTTTGTTCTTATAGAACATTACACTCGGAAATATGCTTGTTCAAATTTCGACGTTAATGCATCAAACAATTTTTATAAAAAAATATGTGCTCAACAATTTGTAATAATTAATCGTGATTTTTATTTAAATAGATATATATTATATTGCGTCTCAAGATACTTCTTTTAAAAGGTATGACAATTTAAGTATTTTTAAAATATGGGGTAAACACCAATGCAAAACACATACGTAATTTTAAGCATACTTATAATTATGGAAATCCATATTTGAATAAATTCAATATTAAAGGAAAATGCGGTGGTGAGCATAATATGCTTGGCGAATCATCCTGTATATAGCAGCCAGCAGGTACGTATAATACTTTACGATATTATGTCAATAATGCTCATGTAAACGAATGTACATTTTCCGTACATTATTATAATATGTGCGCGCGCTGAAAAACAAACGTGGGGTACCTAGCTATATATATTATGTATATATAATATATATTATGTATATATAATA